TCCTCTGCTGCCCCCTGGAGGATGGGCTCCCCCTCTGAGTCTGGTTAGGGTTAGGACTTCCTCTGCTGCCCCCTGGAGGATGGGCTCCCCCTCTGAGTCTGGTTAGGGTTAGGACTCCCTCTGCTGCCCCCTGGAGGATGGGCTCCCCCTCTGAGTCTGGTTAGGGTTAGGACACCCTCTGCTGCCCCCTGGAGGATGGGCCCCCCTCTGAGTCTGGTTAGGGTTAGGACTCCCTCTGCTGCCCCCTGGAGGATGGGCTCCCCCTTTGAGTCTGGTTCCTCCTAAGGTTTCTTCCTTCTAGGGAGTTTTTCCTTGCCACTGTCGCCTCTGGCTTACTCACTGGGGGCTTTGGGTGGGGATGCTGTAAAGCGCTTAGAGACGATGTAATGTTGTGAAAATGTGCTATACAAATAAAATTGAAAAATTTAGGAATGAAACAAAAAGGTGCCGTACCAATTTATTAAGATGTTTTATGGGAGCTTCTGCTGGGTGAATCAGTTGTGAGGTTTATGTAGGATTTATTTCTAACAGTATATATTTCTTATCACTTGTATGGAATTTATTTTACTTAGCCTGACCTGGGGAGATAAATAAAATGATAGTAAGTTTTGTTTTGAAATAGCCCTCATCATGAACTTTATACTGAGAGACTGCAGTCACAAAAAAACATTGTCATTAATCTGTGCTACATTAGAGGAAATGTTTGTGGATTCTACAATCCAGGGTATAGTGTTTTGGTATTAGCTATTACAAATTTTAAGAGGATATGAAACGGTCTTTGTCGTCTGGTTAAAAAGTACAGAATCAATCCCCAAAAATCACAGTAGCCCTTTCCTGGTGTGGTTAAGGCAGATGAGGTGTACCATAACATTGCTTTGAGACGGATGCCTCAGAATCCATCACGTATGCTACATGTTTTACATTTTGTACGTTGAAATGGCTGGAGGATCCGATCAGTGTCTGGACCTTAGCCTGCTGGCCAGGGTTTGCCTCTAGAGGGCGTTGTCTGCCGCTTTGTGCAAATCAGTTGAACAAAGAGCCTGTGTTGATCAGTGAGCACTGGCGAGCTGCAGTGCAAAGCCCAACTACCTTTTTTTACAGACGAGAACTGCACAGACCTCCATTGTGAAAGCACCCGACTATTAATCTAGTATGTATCATCGTCAGCGTCTATTTATTTACTGGACGACTGAGTAGACAGCAGAGTGACCTCATGCCTCTTGGCTTGTGGACTTGATTTCTGACCCTAAATCTTCATATTCTTTGTATTTCCTGGTTCCCTCACCGTGACGCTGTACTGGCCAAGCAGTTGCAGACAATTGATGGACTGTTGTCATATGCATTTTTCTTCCTGAGATGCTTACAATTTCTGTTACACTTGAGTAATTTAGTAGATCACATCAAATTGCTGTTCTTAGCAATAATTTAAGGTATAGCTGCTTTCATCTAGTGCCGGTTCTGTAGCAGCAGTAAAGGAAATGTCTGATGTTCTGGCATCTCCATAAAAAAAATCCAGGTCTGTATCTGCCAGCATTAATGCACTATAACTTCTGGCATTTGCAGAGGGACTGTTTGTGTGGAAAGCTGTACGGGACCTTAACTGCTTGCGTGTCTGAGTGATGCGATTAGCTGTCCCCCCCGCAGCACCGATGCGATTTCGGGGTTAATCCGAGACTCCTCGAGGCAAAGGGGAAAAACTTGGCGATAACCATATTAACCGGCCGTTTTAATTAGTGTTACTCCGTTCCCCGTGTCTGTTTTAATTAGGATGTGATAGATCAATGGAAGTCATCTGTTCTTCATAATGCGATTTTTAGGAACGCTTATTACGGAATAATAATAGCTACTGGCAAGGGAACCTGAAGTGATCCCACGCTCTCGTTCTCTCCCTCCCTCCATCGACAGGGAGCGAGCTGATCAACTGTGTCGCCAGCCACCCGGCGCAGCCGATCTCCATCACCGCCCACGAGAACCGCACCATCCGCTTCCTGGACAACAAGAGTGGTCAGTGTCGCGTCTGGCGGGCCGCCCCCGCGTCTCAGCCCACGTCCTCCGCGCTGTTTACGACCACATGATTTACATCCGAGCGCAGATGCTTTAAATAGCGATACGGTCGTGGTCTCTGCTTGTCACGTAGGAAGGGGGGAGAGTACCATTTGCTGTTTTTTTTTTTTTAATATATATAAGTATGAATGAGTAGTACTGACAGTTTTTTGAGGGTCTTCCCCCCCTGTGGCTGCCTCCCCGACAGGTAAAGTCCTCCATTCCATGGTGGCTCACCTGGATGCAGTCACCTGTCTGACCACAGACCCCAAAGGCACTTATCTCATCTCCGGCAGTAAGTCTGACGTACCTCCATTGCCATGTTTCCGCGGCTGGATAAGCTCCTGGCGGTGCTAACGTGCCTTCCGGGTCGCTGCCTCCTCTCAGGCCACGACTGCTCGGTGCGGCTGTGGACCCTGGACAACCGGACGTGCGTGCAGGAGATAACGGCGCACAGGAAGAAGCACGACGAGGCGATCCACGACGTGGCCTTCCACCCCTGCCAGCCTTTCATCGCCAGTGCCGGCGCCGACGCCCTCGCCAAGATCTTCGTCTGAAAGCCCCGGTTGGGGGCCGGGGGTCCCGAGGACCCGGCGGCTCGTCCCAGACACTGCCGGACTTAAAAACACGGAAAAATTATTCCTCGCTTGCACGGACATTTGCGCGTGCGTAATCAGAGATGTGGGCATATGCGTGAACACACACACACTCTCTCACTCTCACACACACACACACACACACACTCCAAACACCCGTCTGGCAGGTCGGCAAAGTGCCGCTTGCATTCGGGGATGTTTTTACTGAGACGGTTTTGCTTTTATAATCGCATAGTGTTGCTGCTCTTACTATCGGTAAACTGTTCACTAAAAGACCTGTAACGTTTTTTTTTTCTCCCAGTTTTATTAACCTTAAGCGGTATATGTCCTACCTGCTGATATTTAAACTACACAAATCTTCACCTTGGAGCTGGACAAGGTGGGGAAAATGAAGTAGAATTTATGATGGACATATTTCGAATTGTAATTGTTTGTTTATACCACATGTAAACCATGAAAACATCTAAACCACTAGGTTGAGTCGATAAGTATGCTCTGTGTATAGTACAAATGTTCATCTTTAAAAAAAAAAATACCAATGACGGCTTAAGGCGTTTGCTGGATTAACAGATGAATAGCACATTTCCAGAATACTAACTTTTTTTGCCCGCACCGGCAAACAAGAAGCCTTCACGGCTGCCTCTGTCAAAGATAAACATGAATGTGTTTTTTTTGCCAAATATCATAGTCCCTTATTTTGCTGAATATATTTGTAAGATATGAACTGAGAGTCGTCATTTTTATCGTCACCATGATTTAAAAAAAACAAAAAAAACAAAAAAACACCTCAGTGGCACCTCTGAATTGTGCCATAAAATGAGTGGACTGGTCCCCGGCTGCCCAGGGGGGTGCTATGAGTGATTGGCAAGGTGCAGGAAGGGGAGGAGCCACACACCTCCTCTCTCTCCATTGGAAGCCACTCTCTCTCCCTCCTTTGGCGGCTTGTCCCTGAAGCCACGCCCCCTCCCTTAGACACTGAGGTGCCTGTCGATTGGATATTCTGGGCGTGTCCTCGTTATTTAGCCAATTATCTGTGTCCTCTGTCAGAATAAGGTAAAAGGGGAGTGAAGGGTGGGCGGGGCTAGATGATGGATTTGTCTGTATATATATGATCTTCTATCATCGACTGTATATAGTGTGTTTTTGGTTAATCTCGGTGCTAAAATCATGTCTGAATCAGGGACATTTTCCTTTGATGTTGGGCCTGTTCCCTCTAGTCGCTCAGGCACCAAATGAGCACTATGGCTTCTTGTCAACAAGGGTCCATATCTATGACAAGCCACAGGCTGTCCCACGTGATGTTAGAAATAGCTCATGGTTTTTAAGTGGCTGTTCCCCCCCCCCCCCCCCAGGTATTATGTTTTCCTTTGTCTGAAGCCTTTTATAATCACCTAATTATCTTTTTTTAATTGGTGGTGGGGATATCGAGGGTAATCTTGTGAATGTAGCCCTCGAGTTTCACGGTCCATGATGCTTTGCGCTTTCAGCTGGTTACGCTTGCTGCAGGTCACACAATAGGCGTTGGTAATCCGGTTTAATAAGCAGTAGATCAGAGGAACCTTTGTAGTACAGTACAATAGTAACACAACTACTGCAATTTCTGTCATTGTCAATGTAGCGCCACTATATTATCCAGAGGTATATTGGCCAAGTTTTCTGTTTTTGTTTGTGTTTTATTTTATGTCAAAGATCCATGATAAAGAAGGACAGGGGAGGAGAGACGAGATACGGTGCTGTAGTTTAATTCCCATGCTAGGAAATAAAATATAAACACTTTGGTCAGATGCTTTCTGAAGGAAGGGCAGGGCTGGGTCGGCTTGAGTTACACAAGCAGGCCTCTACAGTAAATGGAAGAATTGGAGGAGTCTTTAAAAGACATTTAATAAATCACTACAGGGTGAGAAAACACAGCAAGCAATTTCACTATATGCAAATCGGAGGATGTTTGGCTGTTTGTTGTGCGACGGAGGGGGTGTTGTATACTAATTTTTTTAACGTCCCAAGTGTAACGTTTGGAATTGTGTGTCTGACCATGCCCCCCTGTTGAGTTTATAAACTTGTTTCCATTTTTGTTTTTTTTGTGTTTTTCCTGTTTTTGAGCCTCGTTTGCTCTGTAGGAACGGAAAGGGCCCGAGGCTCTGCTCCTGCAGTTTGTGGAAAGCCATCAAAACGGGGCAATAAAAGTGTGTGCTGGGAGCACAGGGCCACGGGCCCCCGAGGGCCCGGGTGAATGAGTGACTGGCCTCGCTGCCCCGGGCCCTTCCGTCTGCGGAAAGGACGAGAGCTCGCATGCAGGCCGCTTCATTAGGGGGGTCAGAGAGAAGCACGCGTGAGCGGCAGAGGTTGCGATGAGGTCACCCCCTTCCCCCCATGTTGGATGTAATGTCCCTAAAGGAACGTGACTGTGCCACTATCACTAATTCATTATATGGTTTAATTGCGCCCCCCCCCCCCAAATTACTCTCGAGTTTTAACATAAATTGTCATTTATCTATCAGTCATTCACCTCATGGGTCAGTATGATTCAAGATTCAGGAACCATTTATTGTTTCTAATGCTTGTGTTTTTTTGTTTTTTTTTTTGCAATAGTTTTTTTGTTTTTTTTTTATATCCGGATCACGTTTTTATTGGGGGATTTTAAACATATTGTTTCATTCTCCCCCCCTTAAACATTTTACCCTGGCTTGGTCTATCCGGTGTTTCAAATCAGCGTCCAAATGCAGAATTCCAAACAGGAGGAGGACAAGCAGATGTAGACGGAAAAGAAAAACATTGACCGAAAGACCAGATAACGCAATTTGGTGTTACGTGTTGTATTTGTCCCGTCATTTCATTTTTCTCCTTTATTTTTTTTTATTATAATAATTAAGCTTATTATTAAGATGTAACAATGCAGTAGTTTAAGTGTATATCAAGTGCATCATTCTTTTAAAGTAGGCTTAGAACTTGCTTGTGAATGATAAATTGCAGTTGTCCAACTTTCATAATATAATGAAAACGTAACACGACGAATAATGAAAGTAACAGTAAAAGGGCTCATTTTCTTCCTGGTTTGTCTTTTTTTTTTTAATAGCAACTTATCACTGTGTGATATTTTGTACATCATATTAAGCGGTATTCCAAACGATTTTCTGTAACCACAAGGGACAAGAGACTTGCTGTTTATTTATTAAAATACCACCCTTCCCCCCCCCCCGGCTTTTTTTGTAATGCATTCAGGCTCGTATCAAATTATATATTTTCCATTTACTCTCTGGTTTTGTTTACTTAGCGGGTCTCGTATGTCATTCAGAAAAAGCTTCATAACGGTAACAATAAAGATTTTGTACATAGAACTTTGCCCTTTTTATGTGTTTGTGTAAAGTTGCGTGTGGTTTTTAATCTTAATTTCTTTTGTCCTTTTGAGGCTCTTTGCAATGTGGTTTTTCTCACATACACTTCTGAACTGTAAGCATGATTACCCAACTATCTTACAACCCTTGATCTGAAGCTCCCTAATGTATGCATCCACGTGAAGCGAGATATTTCCGTGTTTCTCTACAACAGATCCTGAGGCATAGAGGTTTAGTCAGAAAGTCTCCTTTTTTGCCTTTACAGAATTAAGTCTTTCAGATGGGTGCCTTGTTAAGTAAACCAATACCTAGCTAGACCGATGAAAAAGGCCCATTCACTTTCAATTCATGATGGTAACCTAAGCTAACAGCCTCAACACAAGGGGACAAAGCTCTCCAAGTAAGGCATCAGGATCAGACTCTGAAAATTAAAGTATATGTATGTGATACAATACTATTGCATCAAGATAAATATGACGACAAAAATTATATCATCGAAGGATTCTTGAATCGCTTAGTACAGTATAACCTTAATATAGATTGGAATTCAGATAAGCGAATAAGATGAACTATGTCCTAGCATGTTATTCTTTAGATTGCCACAATTCTTGTCAAGTTCCTTTGGGCAAATCTGGTGAAAGGCACTATATAAATTATCTGGTATAGACGCTTTGACGAAGGCGTATAAGCAGTCATATGCAATATCTCAGCTTTTGAGTTTGCTGGGGTGAAATTTATGCTCCTTAAATGCATGAAAATGAGTATACATTATTTTTCGTGTGTGTAGGTGTGAGAGATGAGTATCCATGGTCTCATCCTAGCTGCAGCCCAACATGACTCTGCATGCTTTTTGAGAGAAGGATCCAGGGCAACAGAAATGAATGGTTGATTTTCAGGGGAAATCATTGTCCCACACCACTCAAAACACCTCTTATGGTTAATGTTTCTGGAAAGACCGTGACTGACACACCATGACCGTAACCATAGTTTCTGGTGATATGTTTTTCCCCTAGTGTGTCTTTTAACAAAACACATACACTCCATATTTACTTCAACATGTGGTGAGTTGTTACTCTTTTTAATTACTCTAGGTGTACACTGTTCACGGTGAGTTTACTAAAGCAGAATCAGAATCTAAGCACAAAATGCCCACGAACAAATTAACACTTTTCATGTGTCAGGAAAGCTGGGTTTGAACACGCTTTCTTTCAGCTTATGAATTTAGCTGAATTCTTTCAAATGCTGTTTCTTTGTGTTGTTTATAGCTTGTCATTCTCTCTCACTCCAAAAAATAAAAATATATCCCTCAACTGTGTAGGTGTGGTATCGTCAGGTATGTGTCCAACCCTGCAGATCTGGCCCAGATCAAAACCAAATAAAAACAACAAACAAAAAAAAATAAAGTGTGAAAGTGGAGGAGGAGGTGTAGAAAGGCGCCCGTGGGTTGGGTTGGGACATGTAAGTTTAAAAAAAGACGGGGATTTGTCAGTGCCGCCTTCAGGCTGAGGGAGCAGGAAAGCAGCCACTCTTTGGGGCAGGAAGGAGAAGAGGAATAAACAAGACGAACTGCTCGCACACACAAGCAAAGACGGGCAAGGGCAGGGGAGGGGTGACAGGATTAAGGAGAGGGGGCGGAGACAAGAGGAAGGGGTGGAGAGCTCGTGACATCACAATGGAGCTACTTACCCACGCCTGCTACTCATTGGCTGAGCGGCCCGTCTGTCATTCCACTTCCTCCTCGAGTCTGGTAAAGTTTAGAAAGAGTCGAGGGAGGGACCCGTACACACACTCTGAGGCACTCACGGCAAGAAACTGAAACAGAGCACGACTTGTAAAGCAAGCCCAGCCAGCCCTTTCTGTCTCCTCTGCTCTCACAGTTTCCTGCTCTGCAAGGAAGCCATTTTGTAGGCCAGAAGAGCTCACCCTTTGCTTTTCTCTCTCTCTCTCTCGCTCTTTTTGTTCCCCTCTGGATTGAGTTTCTCTGCACAGGTTTGGACTTTCCTCTCTGTGGATCAGCTCTGCATCAGAAGGCAGGAGGAAGAAGGAGCAGCACAGCTTCCAAGCCTGATCTGTTTCTGCTGTTGCTTCAAGTGACTCCTGATTTTTTGATTTTTTTAATTAGAGAAAAGAGTGTGGGGGGGTGGGGGGGTGGGGGGCAAGTGCCAGAAGGGAGGGTGAGGTAAAGAGAACTTGTCTGCTTTGACTCTCTGGAAGGATCAGGGGAGGGAGGGCAGATAAAGCCAGGACTCCGGGTGAGTGTGTGGCTGCACCACTCAGCACCTGGTCCTCCTCAGACTCCTCCGCCCCTCCCGGGCCCCCTCCTCGGTTACAGGGGCGCCGGCAGGATGGCCCACACCAGCTCCTGTATGCCCTCAGGTCCGCTCTCCCCTTTCTTCGCACCTGGTAGCCCCTCTTCCTCGGGATCCATGGTAATGCAGCCGGGAACTCCAGTCGCCATGACGCCCCCAGCCAATCAGCTGGGACTGCTGACTGACTTCGGATCGTTTCCCGGAGCCGGCGGGGGGGCTGCAACCCCGGTGCCGGCCACCCCTACCGGGGTCTCCTTCATCATCCAGATTGGGCTGACAAGGGAGTCGGTGCTGTTACCTCATTCTGCAGACCTGGCTTATGTTAAGCAAATCGCCTGCTCTATTGTGGACCAGAAGGTGAGTCCAAACCGTGAGACATCCTTAAGTTACACTTCATTGTGCACTGAGTGTATCTAGAATGTGTGCGTTTGTGCTTGTTATCCTTGGGGGGCGGTGAGTGGTCTACGAAAATTACCTCCTAATTTGGATATAAGGCATTGTGTTGTTCCTCATTCGTCTCGTTTTCTAACTGGCCCCGGCACCTCTAACTCGTGTGGAGTGTATTTTAAAAATCCTGAGTGCATGCGCCTCAGTATGCATCCATGCGACTAGCGTGCCCACAGTAATATGCACCCAGTGACCCCTGCGATGTCGAAACTTTCACACCTGAAAATTGTCTGCAGACAGCGGGGTTAGTGCTCAGAGACCCCGAATCAGGTGAGGTGTGACGAAAATGCTGCAAGGCAGAAGGAGTAGGTGGGGAATGAATGATCCCTTCGATTGTTTTTTTGGGAGCATAAAAGAAACATGAAAAAGTTTTGCTATTATTAACAGTCGCTGTAGCTATAGATTCTCGGGCCCCGTCGGTAGATTTTGCTCACCAGGTCCCCTAAATGATTTTTTTCAGGCTCCCAAAAAGCACCCTGAATCTGCCAGGGTATCCATGCCCCACCGACACCCCTGTTAACAGTAATTTAATGCACAGCCTAGAAATCTGTCCCAGGCAGCACAGGGCATGTGCACCCTGCTGAGACGGCAGCCTGCCACAGGGCACACAGACACACAACGTGGGCATTTTAGAAGTGGCAGTTAATCTATCTGCATGTCGTGAAACAAACACGAACTGGGCAGAACATACAAACTGCGCACACGCACACACACAAACACACACACACACAAACACACAGACACACACACACACACACACAGATGAGCTGGGTTTTAACAGTGCTGCCCTTCAGACACCTTGGCACTGATCCACAACAGCATCAACAATAATAATGTACCTATGCATCAACATTTCAAAAAGGAGTCGCTTGTGCAATTTCATTCATATTAATCTGTTGGCAAAACAATCATTAATATATAGAAACCACCTTTGACCAGGGGCTTAATTATCGGGGGGGATGTCTACCCCCACAATTAAATTTTTCTTAAAAATTTGGCTTTAACTTGGTGCCCTCCAATAAACATTAAGTTGAGTCGCCCCCTATTAAGTTGTGTCTCTTATGACAGTTTAACACTGGCCATTTCCCTCACAGTTCTGAGGTATTTCTTCTGCGAGTCACACTGGTGACCAGACGATTTACTCTTTAGAGCTGTTGTCATGCTGGTGGTGGCGTGTGCTGTTTCCCGGTGAGGAGATAACAGCAGAACTCGAGTCACCTTCATATGCAGAGGAAAACGACATGTAAACTGAAATCCCTCCAGATAAACCCTTCTACCCCGACACCTTCAGCGTCTGACGCTAACTGACAGTCTGAACCGGGAATAGCTGAACTTTTGCTTCAGGGATTTTGGGTTTTGGAGGTGTGCTGCTGTTTGCGTCGTCGCCGGTTCCAGCGGCTGAAGCGCGGTGAGTCACGGCTCGCCATATTTACTCAATGGCCGTCGTTCTCCGCTGAAACTTTGTTCCATTCATTTGGTGGCTGGTGCCGCTCCTCATATCCCCTTACGGCGGACCTGCGGCCAGCCTTTCTCTTCACTTGTTGGGCCTTTTTTGAATTTGAATAATTTATTCATTAATCTGTGGACCCTTCTGGAGAGCGTCCTCCAGGCCCGGCGAGCTGGGGGGCCATGTCAGCTGCCCATTGTCTGGGAGATAAAGAGTAGGAAATGACGGCCACATCCGGCCTGAGTCTGCTTAACGTGAACCACTTGGTCAGCTCTGGTCCCCTGCAGTATCTCACCTCCCCTGCTGGCGGCACTGGGAGAGCGGTGGGGGGGGGGGGTGACCAGAGGACGTCCCCTTCTGTGTTTTTATGCTTGGGTGCCTGGGGGGGGAGGGGCTACTCCGAGCTTGTTTTGGTGCGGACATGCTAGTCGAAGTGAGTTTTGTGATGTTAATTCTTTGCTAAACCTGAAGTGAATCTCATGGGTTTGTTTTGGTGTCTGAAAAGGGTCCTGAGGGCTACATCCCTGAAATCAGTTAATCACCACACCCAACCTTCACGCCCTGAAAGACTCTGGGAAGCTGGTTGGGTTTTCAGGATGAACAGAAGATTTCAGACACTATGTCGAGGTCTGAATGCTGGAATTTAAAATTGGAATTGAAAATTTAAAAAGTGAAAAAAACACATATTAATATAATTTCATGCTGAAGTGCTCACTGCACTGGGTGTTATCAAGCACATGATGGGGAGTTAAAATGTGAGAACATTTAGCAGAGCAAAGGAATCTTGCATTTTCATCGAA